TGTGAAAGCTAGTTAACATATTTCCTGGAAACTATTAGGTCATCCCCCCTCCAGTCTCGTAGCACCATGGTGGATGAGTTCTTGTGTCTATGACTGATGTCTGTATCCAATACTAGTCTGTAGGTATGGAGGGACTGTAACTATTAGGTACCTCTGTAGCATCCTGAGCCCCTAGCCCCGAGTAGGCACCTAGTGGACTTGGAGTAAATATCTCTGATGGATGCCATCAGTGGTGCTGTTAGATTATTGGAGAGAGAGAGGGTTGCTGAGTTAGTCTTGTATTTTCCAGGGTCCCAAAAAGGTGGGGGCATTGTGGCAAGAGGCTGGACTCAGTTGGAAAGAATTTCTACCTGAAGACCAGGATGTCAGTGCATTCATCACTGAACAGGTTTGCGGCTGGAGTTAGGTTAACTCCATTTGGGGCTGGCTGGTCTTTTCCCTCTTTCCTCATCTCGCTCACGTGATACACTTCCCTCCTAACGGTGGGCCTTTTTGCTTGCAGAAAGTGGACTATACCCTGGGAGAGGAGTCAGAAGCGCCTGGCCAGAGGTCGCTGTCCTCTGAGGATCTGAGCAGGCAACTGGAGAAGCTGCTCAAGGAGGGCAGCAGTAACCAGTGGGTGTTTGACTGGATAGAGGTGTGTTTCTCCTGGATATTGGGAGAGAGGGATAAAGGAGAGGTGGTTCTTGGTGTGGTGATGGAGACCCAGTCAGAACTTATGGACCCATGTATTTCTTTCTCCTGCACAGGCCAACCTGAGTGGGCAGCAGGTAGCATCCAACGCATTTGTTCGAGCCCTCATGACGACTGTCTGCTATTCTGCAATTATCTGTAAGAGGAGCCAGGGAGATGGAGGGGCAAGCATGGGCCCAACAGACAAATGGAGGGAGGGAGATTTTGGTCTCTGCCTCCTAGTTGTGAACCAGGCTGCGAGTTATCCCTTATCCACTTATCCCTGTCTTCCTTCCTGTAGTTGAAACTCCGCTCCGAGTGAATGTTGAGGTGCTGAAAGCGCGAGCGAAATTGCTGCAGAAATACCTATGTGATGAGCAGAAGGAGCTGCAGGCGCTCTACGCCCTTCAGGCCCTTGTAGTGACCTTAGAACAGCCCGCCAGTAAGAGCCAGGGGTGGGGTGGAAGAACTGCCAGATACCAGGGGCAGTCATGGAAAGGGCCTCAACCCAGGAAAGGTTGGGTGGTCACTGGAGAGCAAAATGCTTTGATGGTTGATTCTTTCCCTCTGTGACGTTTGTTTCCTTGCCTACAAATGGAAGGAGTTAAACTCAGCCTTCAAGGCTGTTTTGTGCTTAGCCGGCTGTTAGATGCCATGAGTGTAGAGATGATAAATGAAAAACGTTTTCTTCTGCCTGGCACAGGGCTGAGATGCTTTTCTTGCCTCGTTTCATCCTCACAAGTATTATTTAGGGTAGATGGTGTTATCCTCTTTTCCATATTGGAAGACTGAGGCGTAGGTAAACATGCCTGAGGTGTTATGCTTGTAGCAGATGGGTATGTGCCGGGGCCCTGGGATATTACAGTAAGTCAAGCACAGTTCCTGTGCAGGTCTGTAGTCTATAACAGTGATACGTGTTGGAAGATGGGTTTGGAAAGGTACACCTAGTCAGAGGAATAATGAGTGGGAATTGACAAACGCGAGCTAAATTACAAATGGGAGGGGGAGAGACTGGGAACAAAAGAACTGTATGTGGAGGAAGGCCCTGAAGTAGAAAGAACGGGACACAAGGTAAAAGAACTGTTGAAGGAAGGCCATCATGGGGGAGCAAGTCATATGTGAGGCAAGATGGGGCTGGGGAGATGGACATGGGCCAGGTCACACAGGGCTGTGTAAGCCATGGGATGAATTTTGGTCTTTAGCCTAAGGACAGGAAGAGGCCTTTGTGGGATTTTTAAGCAAGGAATAAAAAAATTCTTAGTTTCTAGATCATCTTGGCCATTAGTGGGAAGAGTGGTTAGGAATGGGGGTGAGTGTGAATGGGGTAGGATCAGCAGATCCAGGAGTGTTGGTAGTGCCTCAGCCTCGCTGGTGACAGTGGAGATGGGAGAGGAGTGGGCAGTTTTAAGATACACACTGGCCTGGGGAGAGGGTGATGAGAGCTCAGAAGTCATATGACTCCCAGAATAGTTTTAGCAGGTGAGGTGATAGTGTGGTACCATCCACTGGGTGGTAGGAAAAACACTGATTTCGAGTTGAGTTTGGTCATAATGAATTTGTGGTCCATGGGCGAGAGTGATCAGAGATGCCGGTAGACAGCTAGGTACCTGAATTCATATGGCGAGGAAGAGGTCAGGGTTGGAAACTGATCTAGTAGGGCAACGCATGTGCAAGTCACAAGAAGATATGGGATTGCCTGAGGGAGAGTGTTGAGAGCCTGAGATGGAACCTTGAGGTACAGGACCCACAGGTAGGGACTCATAGGACAGGGCCCTGTGAACAAAGTACAGTAATTTTAGGAAAGGGAAGTAGTCAGTAATGCAAGATGCTACTTGAGAGTACCATGGGATGAGACCTGAAAGTTAAGGGCTTCTGGAATGTAAATCATGGAGGCCACCCTGGCAGAAATATTTGGTGGAGCAGGGGACAGAATCTGGGTTGGAAAGGACTAAGTGAAACTCGAGTGATACAGGAAAAAAGGAAAACAGCAAATGTATACAAAGTCTGAATTCAATTAATCTCTTGTCAAAAGACAGACATCTTTTGTTTGGTTATAAGAGATAGTGGTTGTGAAGGAGGCCTTTTGTGTTGAAATGGGAGAAACTTGGGCTTGAACAGGGCAGAGTGGATAATCGATTATTATAGTGTCCCTAGGATGGGTGTGCATGGGATTTAGAGCACGTTTGGGATAAGTGATCTGCTGCTGCTGTGGGATAGGAGTGGAAGGCTGTCCACAGGTAGCGGTTGTAGATACATTTGAGGGTGTGCGTGCCCCAAAGAACATCCTGGCTTGCAGCTTCTCATAAATGGCTCAGAGTTTCACAAGTGGACTGGACTCCAGATCTTATGCTTTATTCATTTTTTTTTTTTTTTAGAAAAAATGTATTCACTACCTCAGCCTCTTTTAGAAACGTAAAATTTGCTTTGGAAATACTGGCAGTGCAGTGTGGGGAGGGGAATTGGTTGTGTTCAGGGTTATGGGACAAATGCTTGGAAGTAGCCCATGGCTGAGGGAGAAAGAGGGTCAGAGCAAGAGGTGCTTGAGCTGAGCCTAAAGGAATTCACTAGGAAGGTGACAAGAGAAAGGATGTTCCTGGCAAAAGATGTAGCACATGTAAATGTCGAGGCCAGAGAGGGTGTGTATGTTCAGATGTGTGGCAACTTAAGAGGAAATTGGGATCCAGAGTTTGTCAGAATCTAATGGGGGCCAGTGGATGTTCTAGGTTATACCCTTGACTTGTCAGCGATACATCTGGGACTTTTGTGATTCCCCAAATTCAGGAGTACCAATTCTGCATATAGTTTTTTTCCATTAAATATATCATCAATGGAGAAATTTGAAGCTGCTGAGGTGAGGCTGGGGAGATTTGTAAGGCTGGGCCAAGTGACTCATTCCCGGCACCCCAGTCTCTTAGACCACGAGATGAGCATCCTATCAGAGACCTAGTCACTTTGAAATGGTCACACAAGTGTCAGGACAGTGGGTCAAGGGTCTTGTTTGAACATCGGAGCTTGGGGGAGGTATCCTGTGGGGGTGGGGTGGGGTGGCCGTGGACAGCATGCCTCTAACTCTGCCCTGCCTACTTGCAGACCTGCTTCGGACGTTCTTCGATAAGCTGTACGATGAAGACGTGGTGAAAGAGGACGCCTTCTACAGCTGGGAGAGTAGCAAGGATCCTGCTGAGCAGCAGGGCAAGGGCGTGGCCCTTAAATCTGTCACAGCCTTCTTCAAGTGGCTTCGTGAGGCAGAGGAGGAGTCTGACCACAACTGAGGGTGGGGTGGGGCCGGGGACTCGGAGCCCCGTGGACACTCGGATGGCCTAGCCAGCCGCCTGGACTGCAGAGGGCTCAGCAGCGGCGGCGGCGGCAGTGGGTGCCTGTAGTGCGATGTGTCTAAGCTAATAAAGTGGCTGAAGACGCAGGATGGCTTGGGGCTGCCTGGGGCCCCCTCCAGGATGCTGCCAAGTGTCCCTCTCCTCCCCTTGGGGCACAGAGATATATTATATATAAAGTCTTGAAATTTGGTGTGTCTTGGGGGGGGTGGGGCACCACTGCCTGCCCCTGAGGTCCTTTTTTTATTTTCTGAAAATCACTCTTGGGACTGCCGTCCTCGCTGCTGGGGGCATATGCCCCAGCCCCTGCACCACCCCTGCTGCTGCCTGGGCAGGGGGAAGGGGGGGCACGGTGCCTGTAATTATTAAACATGAATTCAATTAAGCTCACTGCCTCTGCTTTGTGGCCTCCTCCCTCTGGAGAAGGTATGGATCAATGGGCAGCCTCCTTTCAAGAGTTGGCACTCACCTATATCGCTGTTCCTGTGACCTGGCACCCCTCGCCTTTTCCCCTGTCCATAATTGCGGGGGGTGAGGAGTCACTTTCCTGGAGGGTTGAGCCCTCAAAGTGGACATGGTGGGGTGCCCTGTTGATGAGACAAGTAGCTGTGCAGTACTTCATAGAACACATTTGGCTGGTTTTGCTCTCCTAACAGAACGTGATCCAGACCCCTTTGCGTGTAGAAGGTCTTGGGTTTCAGGCTGTTTATAGCCGGCGAAGCCCTTTACGGTTTCAAGGTCTCATCTGTAAAATGAAAGGGCTGGATGCAATGAGGTCTTCTGTCCCCGTGCAGTGCGACTGGCAGCCTGGGCCCGGTGAGTGCCCGCCCATCGTCGTGGTTATCTCGGTCTCTCTTTCACGCCCGCCCCACCCATTTTTGAGGGGTCGCTCCGCAGTTGGGCCTGAGCACAGGACGAGCTTTCTTCATACGCCGCTCGTGCGTGGCCATGACGTCGCCATGGCTCCGCCCGCTTCGGGAGGTTACGCTAATGGCCACGCCCCCGCGCTGACGTCACCGGCCCGGTTCTCGGGGGAGCGGCGGCGGACGCGCTGCTCCCACCCCCTCCCCTCTCACGGGTTCTCCTCCCTGGTGGCGGCCGCGGCCCGACACTGCAAGCTGATGGCCCGGGTCCCGAGTGCGGGCTAGCGTGCCTGGGTGCCCGGCCATGGGCTGTATCGGCTCTGAGAGCCCGGCGGGTCAGGGTAAGAGGCGGAGGCCGGGCACCGGTTGGGGAGTCGGGCTGCGACTCCGGTGCGCGGGCCGCGGGTGGGTGGGGGCCTTGGGGAGGGGTCGGATGTCGGGAGAGGGAGGAGCCTGCACCGAGGAGGCGGTCCAGGCGAGAGGAGGGAGCGGGCATGAGCGGGGAGGGGGCTAATCCGGCTTGGGTTTGCTCCTTTGGCCTGCCTGCTTCTGGGCTCTGCAGGGCAGACTCGTGTCTTTCTGCCTGGATTACCACCGTTGAGTGCAGGAGGCGCACGGCCTGAGGAGGGGCTAGTCAAGCCTCTTCAGCCCATGGCGACTGGCCTTGTCCGACTACATACACTTCTCTCGCTGTCCTGGGAGTGGCCCTGTGCTGGGGACCTGCCTCTCCCAGCTGTGTCCCAACCCCCTTAAGCCTGCAAACGCTGACCAAGAACCCTACCAGGGAGTTTTTGATTAAACCTTACTCCCCACTTCAGATGAAGGGGACCGAGGCCCCACTTGGGGCACCTGTGAGCACCTGATCACCTCTTACCTCTTACAACTGTTCTCTTCCCCCACATCCAATAACAACAAAAAGTCATCCTACCCTGTGGAGGGAAACGAGCCCAGAGGGAGGCCATCAGGGCTTCCTTTCCACAGCTGCTGACCCTTGCGTGGGCCTTGCTTCGCATGGATAGTAAATGGTGGGGCCTGGCCTTTGCGTCTGAGGTTGGCCAGCTTACTTTACTCCAGTGTCATGGATTTCTCCAAGCCTAAGGCCAGGCAGGAACTTGTGACATTGAGGGCTGGGTTTGGAATGGGTCCTGGGTTTTCAGGGCAAGTGGTCCGTCTACACAGGCCTTAGTGTGGTTGGTACTTGAGGTCCTTTGGAGCTAAGACTCTAGCTGAGATTTGTACTTTCCTTGGGTTCCCATGAGGAATTCTGGGATTTGTAGTTCTAAATGAACCTCATGGCTTTTGAAGCTGAGAAGCAGCAGGCTGCTCTGATTCCTCTGGCCCTGCTAAGGTTTGGAGTTCTGGAAGTTATTCCCTCCTGTAGTCAGGGGGGAATTTGGCTCATCTCAGGACTGGCCTCAAGAGCCCTGATTAGGTACCAGCTGGGGGCCAGGGATGGCCTGTAACCTTGTGTCTTCCTTCTGGTTGGTAGCATTTCTGGGGACCACCAGCTGGCTGAGGCTCAGGGACAGAGACGGCTGCTCCAGCTAAAGGTCAGTTGTGATATATATTGCCTGTTGGCACTGTTTAGGGGACAGGCCTCAGCTCGCTGAGCTCCAGAGAGCTTGGCTGGGTCCCTGGCACTCCCACCTCCTCAAAGCCATGAGGCAGGCATGCTCTCCTTATGTGACTAGGCACAGGTTCCAAGTGGGGAGGGGACTGGCTCAGCATCCGGAACCAAAATAGGAATAGAATTGGGAGCTGAGCCTGGAGCAGTTCTGGGCTTCTGGTTGTCTGCATCAACACAGCTAGCATGCCTATGATTTCTGTGCTGGGTAAAATGTTTCTGTGGCAGCGTGAAGGGCCTGGAGGACGATGGACTTGTCAGACAAGTCGCAGAGGTGAGAGCAGGGGCTGTAGATGTGACCTGGGAGGTGATGGGAAGCTGAGGAGTAGGGTGCTCAGGTGGCAAGAGGAAAATTACTCTGGCTTAGATATTGGGAACCGGGTTGAAACAGGAACAACCAGGCTGGGGCCAGACAGGGCATCAGGAAAAAGCCTTAGGGGACTGGGACGAAAGTCAGAAAAAAACATGGGTTTGTCAGAAAAAAGTGAAGAGCTGCATACCAGCTGAGGCTGGCAAGAGGAAAGAACCAACAGAAGGAAGGCAGCAAGCCTGCGAAGGGTCTAAGGTGGTGGTGGGGAGGGAGGGGGACCGTGTGGCAGGCAGGGGGATGATGTTGATGGTGGAAGAATGAGGTGAGCTTTCCAAGAGGAGTGGGTAGGCTGAGAAACTGGAGAAGATGCAGAATTTATGAAAGCTTAGGTTTGATCTCTAGGGTTTTGATGGCAAAATATATCCAGAGGAGGAAGGTGGCCGGTGGCTGCCACAAAATGGCCCCAGGGGCCTAAAGGTCAGGGCTGTGGGATAGGGGCTTTCAGAGCTGTGGAGAGCACCAGGTGGTTGCTGATATTTTGGGAGATAGGGGAGGGGGTGAGCAAGAATGATATGGCAACACCCGATGTAAAGGGGTATCTTGGCAAAAGTGGGAGCCCAGCTGAACAGCCTTTCCATCACCCCTCAGTGGCCTCGGACCCCGCGTGGGCTGTGGAGTGGATCGAACTTCCTCGGGGCCTCTCTCTATCTTCCTTGGGATCTGCTCGGACTCTTCGAGGCTGGAGCCGGTCCTCTCGCCCTTCCTCCGTGGACAGCCAGGACTTGCCAGAGGTGCTGGGCCCCTGGTGTTGGTAGGGGGGAAGGGGGGCCGCGTCCATCTGAAAGCAATCTGTATCCCCCACCCCCGCCTCGCCAGCCTGTTTCTGGCTCCCTTTGCCGGCAAGCGGAGGCGCTATCCGGCCGGCAGCGAGGCCGCCCCCGCGCCGGTCTGCTCTTCTCGGCGCCATGCCAGCAGCGGGCGGGCTGCTTCGCGCCTTCGTCGCTGACGTCAGCGCATCCCGGGCCGTATCCCGGGAGATCCTGTTGCATGGTGATGGGTTGCCAGGGAGACATACACCTTTTCTCTGGGCCTGGGCCGCAGCTGCGCGGAGCGCTAGCACGGATGGCGGCGGCTGTGGGGAGTGAGGGGAGGGAGGGTGAGCGAGCCAGGAAACACCCAGCAGGTGCTCCTCCCTCCAGGCCTGGCCAAAGGCTACCGGCGCCACACTGGGGGCCCTGTCAGCCAGGTACTGAATGGGAGGGACAGAGGGTGGGCCTGAGGTCAAGGGGCAGATAGAGCCCCGCTTGTGAGGGGTGGAACACGATGGAGGAGAGCTAAGCAATGCCTGGGAGGGGGCGTGTGCTTCCGACTGCATTTATTTGCTGAGGGAAATATTTGCCAGGGGCTTGCCATGGAGCGCTGAGCCAGGTGCAGGGTGGAGGTAGGAACCCAGGTGAATCAGACTCAGGCGCTGTCATCCCTCAGGAGAGAGGAGGCAAGGGCAATGCTGGGGTGGGGGTGGGGGTGAAGAAGACCGAGAAAACTGTGAACTGAAAACATAATAGGAGGTGGCACTTGAGTCAGGCCTTAAATGGTAGGGAGCATTTTGTCAGGCAAGGATGGCTTTCTTAGCCCAAGGGAAAGCTGGGTTCCCAGGGGAAAGGCGGGAGGGCTGCTTGCTGACAGGGAAGGTGGAGAAGTGGGGTTTTACTGGGCAAAGGAGATCAGTGGTGGATTCCAACCAGGCCTGGAAGGAGGCAGGGGCCTCACAGAGTGGGTTACTTCAGTGCCTGGCTGTGAGCTTGCACTTCATTGGATAGTGGCGGAGCCTAGAAGAGACTGTAAATAGGGACATATTCATGACCAGTTGCACTCCAGGAAAATTGTGTACATTTATACCTTGCCTTGTTCATTCAGCCTATGTATTTTGAGAGATTGCTGTGTACCGGGCACTGTGCTAAACACTGGGGTGCAGCAGTGACCAAAAGAGACTGAATTTCTCAAAGTGCTAAAGAACAGTGAGAGAGACCAACAAGAAATAAGGAAACACACAAAATAGACCATAATTACACACATGTGGTACACTGATAGAGGATGCTGACTTGTTACAGATTACAGAGAGAGGGTAGAGAACTGGTAGGGTGGTCAGAAAGGCGCCTCTGAGAAAGTAATATTTTAGCCAAGACCCAAAAGATGAGAAAGAGCCAGCCAGACATGGGCAGGGAGGAGGGGAACACTTATGAGACAGAAAATAGCATGGAGTTGGAGGAGCTTGGGGGACCACCACTTGTGTTAATCTAGGCAAGGGGCATTGAAGGCTTGAGGAAGGGCGGTGGGAGTAGAAAGGATGAGGGTTATATTAGAGGCACTTTGGAGATGGAATCTTTAGGTCTTAACATAAATAAAACAGGAGAGAGTTGATGGCAATACTGTGGTTTGGAGCCAGGTTGAAATGGGAGAATGGTGGGGTAATGCAAAGTAAGGAAGTCTGGAAGCAGGGCCAGATACGGGGAGAAGGAGTTCGGTTTGGTTTTGGTCATTGCTGAGTTTGTGGCCTTGGTAGGCTCTAGAAACAGCTAGAATGCGGTCCGAAGACTGAGATGAGGAGCGGAGCAAAAGGGAAGGGACCTAGATGCCATACCCTTCTCCCTTCTTGTTCTCTTCTCAAAGACCCTACTCTATGGCTCTTTACTTCCCAACCTGCCTCCTTCCCCTCTGTGAGCTGGGAAGGTGGAGGGTAAGCTGAAATTGTGCTCCTTTGGGCCTGCCCAAGCCTCCATTGGTCCCTGGGAGGACACAGTTTGCTGGTCCAGTCTTCTTACCCTCTTACATATCACAGCAGCCATAGGGACACGTGTGCTACCCTGGCATCTCTTACCAGCTCCTATTTCCCCTTGACATCTTGGGGTATGGGCATGTGGGAGAACACTTGTCAGAGGCGCACTCACCCTCTGATGCTGTCACTCAAGGTGAATGTTGGAGACACAGTCGCGATGCTGCCCAAGTCCCGGAGAGCCCTAACTATCCAGGAGATAGCTGCGCTGGCCAGATCCTCCCTGCATGGTATGTACCCTCTCCCATGCCTCTGGCCATTTGGTCCTTTCTTCTCCCTTTTGCACATGCCCTTGGGGACTGGATCCTGTGAGCCTTTGCTGGGATCTCGCTTTTTCAGGTGTATCCCAGCCTCCTCCTCACACCCACAGGCACATGTGGACCTTAACTACCACCACCCTTCCGCTTCCCTCCCAGGTGCTCCCCGGCCCATGCTCTTACCAGGCTTCCTGACTCTGCCCCACCTCTAGGTATTTCCCAGGCGGTGAAGGACCACGTGACCAAGCCCACCGCCATGGCCCAGGGCCGAGTGGCTCACCTCATTGAATGGAAGGGCTGGAGCAAGCCGAGTGACTCTCCTGCTGCCCTGGAATCAGCCTTTTCTTCCTATTCGGATCTCAGCGAGGGCGAACAAGAGGCTCGCTTTGCAGCAGGTGGGTGACAGAAAGGGGATCAGCCATGCATTTGTCATAGGGGTACTTTCTCTCGTCTCCTCAGGCCTGATGTGGGGGTTGGAGTCTTTCCACATCCCTGTGTCTTCCCTCTCCTATCTCTAAGCTGAGCCCCCATCTTAGCTCACCTTCTCTGCTAATGAATTCTATGTCCTCCCCAACAGGAGTGGCCGAGCAATTTGCCATTGCAGAAGCCAAGCTCCGGGCATGGTCTTCAGTGGATGGTGAGGACTCCACCGATGAATCCTATGATGAGGACTTTGCTGGGGGAACTGACTCAGGTGAGACCACATCCCATGCTAGTGCTGCCAGCTAGGGTGGAACTGCCTGATAGGCCCTGTGATTCAGAGCTCAGCCTTTGGAAGAGGAGAGGAGAGGTGCAAACTCTGTGCTGGCGGTCCTTGACATTCCATGGCAGGAGGGCTGTCCAAGCTTGCGGGTGGGCAACCAGCAGGTGGGAGTGGAGCAGTACCTTTCTCACAGGTGCTGAGTCTTCTCAGCCTGCCTGTGCAGTTGGGCCTTGCAGTCCTCAAAAAACAAAGCCCAGAGATCTCACCAGCACTTATGTGCTGCTGTTTCTCTGGGAGGGTGCTGTGCCTTGCCTCTGAAATGAGCCACAGTGCAGCAGCACAGCACCTCACAGGGCTGTGGCCCCAGGTAAACAGGAAGGCTTGCTGGGCCTGGACTGCCCACAGGGCCGCTGGCTCCAGCTCAGCATCCTCACATTCCAGCCGAGACCTGACTGTGGGCCTTGCTCTGGTCAATTGCTTGCAGAGGGGACCCTGTGGGGCTGTGCAGCTGTGCACGGCCCTCCTTTCATCTTCCATTCTCTGGACCACATGGCTGACTTTCTCTGGCTTCTGGGCTCAAGCCTCCCAGGCCACCATCCCCACCCCGCACTGCCTTTGAAGTATTGCCTCCACCCACCCCCCACTCCTCCAGCTAATTAACAAGTTCTCCGGAGGTGGGCAGTGCATTAGAGCAGATTGGAGACTGCTTCTGTGGTCCAGAGGGGACTGATTTGGATGACTGAGACCACAGCATTTTTGTTTGATTGAGTTCCAGGCCTGCTTTGACCTCTGGTATAATGATAATAACTAAAATTTATCCAAGGCCACCACTAACCCATGAGGAATCTGTGCAAATGAGAAAGGTACCCCTTTCTTTGGTGGGCACAGCCCCATGCCAGGGCATGCTGCTTGGTGAGCAGAGTGTGGGCTGAATTTCAGCTCTCTCTCACTGCCTTGAGCAGGCTCCCCTTGTGCAGTGAATAACCTGCATGACCTTGTATGGTATCCCTGCATTTATTGCTTTCTTACTGTGTGCCAGACTGTGTTCTCTTAACAACTCTGTACAGTAGGCGTATTAGAATCTCCAATTCACCATTAAGGAAATTGAGACACTGAGAGGTTGCGACTTGCTCAGAGTTTCCCAGCTCCTATCCACCATCCCCAGAGCTGTGCCGAGAATAGAGTGGGGAGAATGTGGCTTCCACATTGGCCAATTAAGATGGGGCTAGCAGGGCTGTCTTCTTTTCTCTCCCCCAACAGACATGGCTGGGCAGCTGCCCCTGGGACCCCATCTCCAGGACCTCTTCACTGGCCACCGATTTTCCCGTCCTATGCGCCAGGGCTCCGTAGAACCTGAGAGCGACTGCTCGCAGACCGTGTCCCCAGAGACCCTGTGCTCTAGTCTGTGCAGCCTGGAGGACGGGTTGCTGGGCTCCCCAGCCCACCTGGCCTCCCAGCTGCTGGGCGAAGAGCTGTTCCTTGCCAAACTGCCCCCCAGCCGGGAAAGTGCCTTCCGCAGCCTGGGCCCATTGGAGGCCCAGGACTCACTGTACAACTCTCCCCTCACGGAGTCCTGCCTTTCCCCCGCCGAGGAGGAGCCAGCTTCCTGCGAGGACAGCCAGCCGCTCTGCCCGCCACCGGTGGGCAGCTGGGAACAACAGCGGCAAGCCTCCGACGTGGCTTCTTCTGGGGTGGTGTCCTTAGACGAGGATGAGGTGGAAACGGAGGAACAGTGACGCAGATCATGCCTGGTGGTGGCATGTGTCCCCTGGCTACTGCTGGGGGCAGAGCCTCTATGCCCAAGTGTGGGCACGAGGCTTCCAGCAGAGCTCCAAAGCCTAGAGGGCTCCTGGGAGCACTCACTCCTCGTTGTGTGTTTTGCATGAAAGTGTCAGGAGAGGAGGCAGGGGCCAGGCTGGGGGCGCATGTCCTGCCCCCACTCCTGGGGTTTGCCGGGGATTGCCCGGGGCCCCTGGGGCATGGCTACAGCTGTGGCAGACAGTGATGTTCATGTTCTTAAATCAAAAATGCCATATACATATTTCCTCCTTGGATGATGTGAACCCCTGAGGGGGTGGTTGTGACTGGGCTGTGTGGGATAGAGCGGGAGGGAGCCCGGCCTCCCCCTGCCCCTCCCCCTGCCTCTCTCCTCTGCTTCTCTCCTCACCTCCAAGTCCACGTGCAGTGCTTGATAGAATCACCCCCNATCGTCGTGGTTATCTCGGTCTCTCTTTCACGCCCGCCCCACCCATTTTTGAGGGGTCGCTCCGCAGTTGGGCCTGAGCACAGGACGAGCTTTCTCCATACGCCGCTCGTGCGTGGCCATGACGTCGCCATGGCTCCGCCCGCTTCGGGAGGTTACGCTAATGGCCACGCCCCCGCGCTGACGTCACCGGCCCGGTTCTCGGGGGAGCGGCGGCGGACGCGCTGCTCCCACCCCCTCCCCTCTCACGGGTTCTCCTCCCTGGTGGCGGCCGCGGCCCGACACTGCAAGCTGATGGCCCGGGTCCCGAGTGCGGGCTAGCGTGCCTGGGTGCCCGGCCATGGGCTGTATCGGCTCTGAGAGCCCGGCGGGTCAGGGTAAGAGGCGGAGGCCGGGCACCGGTTGGGGAGTCGGGCTGCGACTCCGGTGCGCGGGCCGCGGGTGGGTGGGGGCCTTGGGGAGGGGTCGGATGTCGGGAGAGGGAGGAGCCTGCACCGAGGAGGCGGTCCAGGCGAGAGGAGGGAGCGGGCATGAGCGGGGAGGGGGCTAATCCGGCTTGGGTTTGCTCCTTTGGCCTGCCTGCTTCTGGGCTCTGCAGGGCAGACTCGTGTCTTTCTGCCTGGATTACCACCGTTGAGGGCAGGAGGCGCACGGCCTGAGGAGGGGCTAGTCAAGCCTCTTCAGCCCATGGCGACTTGCCTTGTCCGACTACATACACTTCTCTCGCTGTCCTGGGAGTGGCCCTGTGCTGGGGACCTGCCTCTCCCAGCTGTGTCCCAACCCCCTTAAGCCTGCAAACGCTGACCAAGAACCCTACCAGGGAGTTTTTGATTAAACCTTACTCCCCACTTCAGATGAAGGGGACCGAGGCCCCACTTGGGGCACCTGTGAGCACCTGATCACCTCTTACCTCTTACAACTGTTCTCTTCCCCCACATCCAATAACAACAAAAAGTCATCCTACCCTGTGGAGGGAAAGGAGCCCAGAGGGAGGCCATCAGGGCTTCCTTTCCACAGCTGCTGACCCTTGCGTGGGCCTTGCTTCGCATGGATAGTAAATGGTGGGGCCTGGCCTTTGCGTCTGAGGTTGGCCAGCTTACTTTACTCCAGTGTCATGGATTTCTCCAAGCCTAAGGCCAGGCAGGAACTTGTGACATTGAGGGCTGGGTTTGGAATGGGTCCTGGGTTTTCAGGGCAAGTGGTCCGTCTACACAGGCTTTAGTGTGGTTGGTACTTGAGGTCCTTTGGAGCTAAGACTCTAGCTGAGATTTGTACTTTCCTTGGGTTCCCATGAGGAATTCTGGGATTTGTAGTTCTAAATGAACCTCATGGCTTTTGAAGCTGAGAAGCAGCAGGCTGCTCTGATTCCTCTGGCCCTGCTAAGGTTTGGAGTTCTGGAAGTTATTCCCTCCTGTAGTCAGGGGGGAATTTGGCTCATCTCAGGACTGGCCTCAAGAGCCCTGATTAGGTACCAGCTGGGGGCCAGGGATGGCCTGTAACCTTGTGTCTTCCTTCTGGTTGGTAGCATTTCTGGGGACCACCAGCTGGCTGAGGCTCAGGGACAGAGACGGCTGCTCCAGCTAAAGGTCAGTTGTGATATATATTGCCTGTTGGCACTGTTTAGGGGACAGGCCTCAGCTCGCTGAGCTCCAGAGAGCTTGGCTGGGTCCCTGGCACTCCCACCTCCTCAAAGCCATGAGGCAGGCATGCTCTCCTTATGTGACTAGGCACAGGTTCCAAGTGGGGAGGGGACTGGCTCAGCATCCGGAACCAAAATAGGAATAGAATTGGGAGCTGAGCCTGGAGCAGTTCTGGGCTTCTGGTTGTCTGCATCAACACAGCTAGCATGCCTATGATTTCTGTGCTGGGTAAAATGTTTCTGTGGCAGCGTGAAGGGCCTGGAGGACGATGGACTTGTCAGACAAGTCGCAGAGGTGAGAGCAGGGGCTGTAGATGTGACCTGGGAGGTGATGGGAAGCTGAGGAGTAGGGTGCTCAGGTGGCAAGAGGAAAATTACTCTGGCTTAGATATTGGGAACCGGGTTGAAACAGGAACAACCAGGCTGGGGCCAGACAGGGCATCAGGAAAAAGCCTTAGGGGACTGGGACGAAAGTCAGAAAAAAACATGGGTTTGTCAGAAAAAAGTGAAGAGCTGCATACCAGCTGAGGCTGGCAAGAGGAAAGAACCAACAGAAGGAAGGCAGCAAGCCTGCGAAGGGTCTAAGGTGGTGGTGGGGAGGGAGGGGGACCGTGTGGCAGGCAGGGGGATGATGTTGATGGTGGAAGAATGAGGTGAGCTTTCCAAGAGGAGTGGGTAGGCTGAGAAACTGGAGAAGATGCAGAATTTATGAAAGCTTAGGTTTGATCTCTAGGGTTTTGATGGCAAAATATATCCAGAGGAGGAAGGTGGCCGGTGGCTGCCACAAAATGGCCCCAGGGGCCTAAAGGTCAGGGCTGTGGGATAGGGGCTTTCAGAGCTGTGGAGAGCACCAGGTGGTTGCTGATATTTTGGGAGATAGGGGAGGGGGTGAGCAAGAATGATATGGCAACACCCGATGTAAAGGGGTATCTTGGCAAAAGTGGGAGCCCAGCTGAACAGCCTTTCCACCACCCCTCAGTGGCCTCGGACCCCGCGTGGGCTGTGGAGTGGATCGAACTTCCTCGGGGCCTCTCTCTATCTTCCTTGGGATCTGCTCGGACTCTTCGAGGCTGGAGCCGGTCCTCTCGCCCTTCCTCCGTGGACAGCCAGGACTTGCCAGAGGTGCTGGGCCCCTGGTGTTGGTAGGGGGGAAGGGGGGCCGCGTCCATCTGAAAGCAATCTGTATCCCCCACCCCCGCCTCGCCAGCCTGTTTCTGGCTCCCTTTGCCGGCAAGCGGAGGCGCTATCCGGCCGGCAGCGAGGCCGCCCCCGCGCCGGTCTGCTCTTCTCGGCGCCGTGCCAGCAGCGGGCGGGCTGCTTCGCGCCTTCGTCGCTGACGTCAGCGCATCCCGGGCCGTATCCCGGGAGATCCTGTTGCATGGTGATGGGTTGCCAGGGAGACATACACCTTTTCTCTGGGCCTGGGCCGCAGCTGCGCGGAGCGCTAGCACGGATGGCGGCGGCTGTGGGGAGTGAGGGGAGGGAGGGTGAGCGAGCCAGGAAACACCCAGCAGGTGCTCCTCCCTCCAGGCCTGGCCAAAGGCTACCGGCGCCACACTGGGGGCCCTGTCAGCCAGGTACTGAATGGGAGGGACAGAGGGTGGGCCTGAGGTCAAGGGGCAGATAGAGCCCCGCTTGTGAGGGGTGGAACACGATGGAGGAGAGCTAAGCAATGCCTGGGAGGGGGCGTGTGCTTCCGACTGCATTTATTCGCTGAGGGAAATATTTGCCAGGGGCTTGCCATGGAGCGCTGAGCCAGGTGCAGGGTGGAGGTAGGAACCCAGGTGAATCAGACTCAGGCGCTGTCATCCCTCAGGAGAGAGGAGGCAAGGGCAATGCTGGGGTGGGGGTGGGGGTGAAGAAGACCGAGAAAACTGTGAACTGAAAACATAATAGGAGGTGGCACTTGAGTCAGGCCTTAAATGGTAGGGAGCATTTTGTCAGGCAAGGATGGCTTTCTTAGCCCAAGGGAAAGCTGGGTTCCCAGGGGAAAGGCGGGAGGGCTGCTTGCTGACAGGGAAGGTGGAGAAGTGGGGTTTTACTGGGCAAAGGAGATCAGTGGTGGATTCCAACCAGGCCTGGAAGGAGGCAGGGGCCTCACAGAGTGGGTTACTTCAGTGCCTGGCTGTGAGCTTGCACTTCATTGGATAGTGGCGGAGCCTAGAAGAGACTGTAAATAGGGACATATTCATGACCAGTTGCACTCCAGGAAAATTGTGTACATTTATACCTTGCCTTGTTCATTCAGCCTATGTATTTTGAGAGATTGCTGTGTACCGGGCACTGTGCTAAACACTGGGGTGCAGCAGTGACCAAAAGAGACTGAATTTCTCAAAGTGCTAAAGAACAGTGAGAGAGACCAACAAGAAATAAGGAAACACACAAAATAGACCATAATTACACACATGTGGTACACTGATAGAGGATGCTGACTTGTTACAGACTACAGAGAGAGGGTAGAGAACTGGTAGGGTGGTCAGAAAGGCGCCTCTGAGAAAGTAATATTTTAGCCAAGACCCAAAAGATGAGAAAGAGCCAGCCAGACATGGGCAGGGAGGAGGGGAACACTTATGAGACAGAAAATAGCATGGAGTTGGAGGAGCTTGGGGGACCACCACTTGTGTTAATCTAGGCAAGGGGCATTGAAGGCTTGAGGAAGGGCGGTGGGAGTAGAAAGGATGAGGGTTATATTAGAGGCACTTTGGAGATGGAATCTTTAGGTCTTAACATAAATAAAACAGGAGAGAGTTGATGGCAATACTGTGGTTTGGAGCCAGGTTGAAATGGGAGAATGGTGGGGTAATGCAAAGTAAGGAAGTCTGGAAGCAGGGCCAGATACGGGGAGAAGGAGTTCGGTTTGGTTTTGGTCATTGCTGAGTTTGTGGCCTTGGTAGGCTCTAGAAACAGCTAGAATGCGGTCCGAAGACTGAGATGAGGAGCGGAGCAAAAGGGAAGGGACCTAGATGCCATACCCTTCTCCCTTCTTGTTCTCTTCTCAAAGACCCTACTCTATGGCTCTTTACTTCCCAACCTGCCTCCTTCCCCTCTGTGAGCTGGGAAGGTGGAGGGTAAGCTGAAATTGTGCTCCTTTGGGCCTGCCCAAGCCTCCATTGGTCCCTGGGAGGACACAGTTTGCTGGTCCAGTCTTCTTACCCTCTTACATATCACAGCAGCCATAGGGACACGTGTGCTACCCTGGCATCTCTTACCAGCTCCTATTTCCCCTTGACATCTTGGGGTATGGGCATGTGGGAGAACACTTGTCAGAGGCGCACTCACCCTCTGATGCTGTCACTCAAGGTGAATGTTGGAGACACAGTCGCGATGCTGCCCAAGTCCCGGAGAGCCCTAACTATCCAGGAGATAGCTGCGCTGGCCAGATCCTCCCTGCATGGTATGTACCCTCTCCCATGCCTCTGGCCATTTGGTCCTTTCTTCTCCCTTTTGCACATGCCCTTGGGGACTGGATCCTGTGAGCCTTTGCTGGGATCTCGCTTTTTCAGGTGTATCCCAGCCTCCTCCTCACACCCACAGGCACATGTGGACCTTAACTACCACCACCCTTCCGCTTCCCTCCCAGGTGCTCCCCGGCCCATGCTCTTACCAGGCTTCCTGACTCTGCCCCACCTCTAGGTATTTCCCAGGCGGTGAAGGACCACGTGACCAAGCCCACCGCCATGGCCCAGGGCCGAGTGGCTCACCTCATTGAATGGAAGGGCTGGAGCAAGCCGAGTGACTCGCCTGCTGCCCTGGAATCAGCCTTTTCTTCCTATTCGGATCTCAGCGAGGGCGAACAAGAGGCTCGCTTTGCAGCAGGTGGGTGACAGAAAGGGGATCAGCCATGCATTTGTCATAGGGGTACTTTCTCTCGTCTCCTCAGGCCTGATGTGGGGGTTGGAGTCTTTCCACATCCCTGTGTCTTCCCTCTCCTATCTCTAAGCTGAGCCCCCATCTTAGCTCACCTTCTCTGCTAATGAATTCTATGTCCTCCCCAACAGGAGTGGCCGAGCAATTTGCCATTGCAGAAGCCAAGCTCCGGGCATGGTCTTCAGTGGATGGTGAGGACTCCACCGATGAATCCTATGATGAGGACTTTGCTGGGGGAACTGACTCAGGTGAGACCACATCCCATGCTAGTGCTGCCAGCTAGGGTGGAACTGCCTGATAGGCCCTGTGATTCAGAGCTCAGCCTTTGGAAGAGGAGAGGAGAGGTGCAAACTCTGTGCTGGCGGTCCTTGACATTCCATGGCAGGAGGGCTGTCCAAGCTTGCGGGTGGGCAACCAGCAGGTGGGAGTGGAGCAGTACCTTTCTCACAGGTGCTGAGTCTTCTCAGCCTGCCTGTGCAGTTGGGCCTTGCAGTCCTCAAAAAACAAAGCCCAGAGATCTCACCAGCACTTATGTGCTGCTGTTTCTCTGGGAGGGTGCTGTGCCTTGCCTCTGAAATGAGCCACAGTGCAGCAGCACAGCACCTCACAGGGCTGTGGCCCCAGGTAAACAGGAAGGCTTGCTGGGCCTGGACTGCCCACAGGGCCGCTGGCTCCAGCTCAGCATCCTCACATTCCAGCCGAGACCTGACTGTGGGCCTTGCTCTGGTCAATTGCTTGCAGAGGGGACCCTGTGGGGCTGTGCAGCTGTGCACGGCCCTCCTTTCATCTTCCATTCTCTGGACCACATGGCTGACTTTCTCTGGCTTCTGGGCTCAAGCCTCCCAGGCCACCATCCCCACCCCGCACTGCCTTTGAAGTATTGCCTCCACCCACCCCCCACTCCTCCAGCTAATTAACAAGTTCTCCGGAGGTGGGCAGTGCATTAGAGCAGATTGGAGACTGCTTCTGTGGTCCAGAGGGGACTGATTTGGATGACTGAGACCACAGCATTTTTGTTTGATTGAGTTCCAGGCCTGCTTTGACCTCTGGTATAATGATAATAACTAAAATTTATCCAAGGCCACCACTAACCCATGAGGAATCTGTGCAAATGAGAAAGGTACCCCTTTCTTTGGTGGGCACAGCCCCATGCCAGGGCATGCTGCTTGGTGAGCAGAGTGTGGGCTGAATTTCAGCTCTCTCTCACTGCCTTGAGCAGGCTCCCCTTGTGCAGTGAATAACCTGCATGACCTTGTATGGTATCCCTGCATTTATTGCTTTCTTACTGTGTGCCAGACTGTGTTCTCTTAACAACTCCGTACAGTAGGCGTATTAGAATCTCCAATTCACCATTAAGGAAATTGAGACACTGAGAGGTTGCGACTTGCTCAGAGTTTCCCAGCTCCTATCCACCATCCCCAGAGCTGTGCCGAGAATAGAGTGGGGAGAATGTGGCTTCCACATTGGCCAATTAAGATGGGGCTAGCAGGGCTGTCTTCTTTTCTCTCCCCCAACAGACATGGCTGGGCAGCTGCCCCTGGGACCCCATCTCCAGGACCTCTTCACTGGCCACCGATTTTCCCGTCCTATGCGCCAGGGCTCCGTAGAACCTGAGAGCGACTGCTCGCAGACCGTGTCCCCAGAGACCCTGTGCTCTAGTCTGTGCAGCCTGGAGGACGGGTTGCTGGGCTCCCCAGCCCACCTGGCCTCCCAGCTGCTGGGCGAAGAGCTGTTCCTTGCCAAACTGCCCCCCAGCCGGGAAAGTGCCTTCCGCAGCCTGGGCCCATTGGAGGCCCAGGACTCACTGTACAACTCTCCCCTCACGGAGTCCTGCCTTTCCCCCGCCGAGGAGGAGCCAGCTTCCTGCGAGGACAGCCAGCCGCTCTGCCCGCCACCGGTGGGCAGCTGGGAACAGCAGCGGCAAGCCTCCGACGTGGCTTCTTCTGGGGTGGTGTCCTTAGACGAGGATGAGGTGGAAACGGAGGAACAGTGACGCAGATCATGCCTGGTGGTGGCATGTGTCCCCTGGCTACTGCTGGGGGCAGAGCCTCTATGCCCAAGTGTGGGCACGAGGCTTCCAGCAGAGCTCCAAAGCCTAGAGGGCTCCTGGGAGCACTCACTCCTCGTTGTGTGTTTTGCATGAAAGTGTCAGGAGAGGAGGCAGGGGCCAGGCTGGGGGCGCATGTCCTGCCCCCACTCCTGGGGTTTGCCGGGGATTGCCCGGGGCCCCTGGGGCATGGCTACAGCTGTGGCAGACAGTGATGTTCATGTTCTTAAATCAAAAATGCCATATACATATTTCCTCCTTGGATGATGTGAACCCCTGAGGGGGTGGTTGTGACTGGGCTGTGTGGGATAGAGCGGGAGGGAGCCCGGCCTCCCCCTGCCCCTCCCCCTGCCTCTCTCCTCTGCTTCTCTCCTCACCTCCAAGTCCACGTGCAGTGCTTGATAGAATCACCCCCACCCGGGAGCCGGGAGCCTACGGATTGAGCCGTCATCCCCCAGGGCCCCTCTCCCTGCTGGGCTCGTGCTGTGCTTCACCTCTCCATCGTCTCTAAATCTTCTTTTTCATAAAGAAAGAGGGGTCTTGGTCTGTTCTTTCAGTCGGATCTTCTCTAGGAGGCATTGGAATGATGAAAGCATGTACCCTCCACCCTTTTCCTGGCTGCCCTGATGGGGTCTGGGCCCTTTCCTGGCCCCTTGTGGGATGTGTGGGCAGGGGCCTGGCAGCTCCCGGCCTACCGTGCTGTCACATACGAGTTCTTTAGGGTGAAGTTGGCAGAAGGGATGGTTGCTACAGTTGTGACTTCCATGTTATTCCAGAAAGGGCCACCAGGGGGCCACATCGGTGGCCAGGCAGTTGTCTGCTGATGCCTGAGCAGGGCAGGAATTGTGCCAGCTGGTCACAGCCATGAGGAAGTGTCTCTCCTTGGGGAAAAAAGAGGGTAGTGTCTTTCTTGGCTGAAGGAGAGGCCAAAGCTACTAGGGTGTTGATGACCAAGCAGCGGAGGCCTCTGCAAATCCTGCATTCCATGGACGGCAGGCTCTGGAGCTTTATGGCCGTGGGAGTGTGGGTGGCTGCAGATATCGGGCCTCGTAGGCTTCAGCAGGTGAGAGGGCCCAAGGTAAGAACAAGAGCTGATGGGCACAGGTATTCTATATATAAGTGGCTCATTAGGTGTTTATTTTGTTCTATTTAAGAATTTGTTTTATTAAATTAATATAAAAATCTTTGTAAATCTCTATATACATCTGGTCATTGGAGGTTCCAGTATAAACCCATCTTAGTTCGACTCCTTTTCACCTTCAAAGGGGCAGCAGGGGTCAAGCGGCCCCAACTCCATCCTGCCAGGGCAGCGCTGATCTCCCTGCTTTTGCTGCAGGTGGGCGCTGGGTCAGATTCCAGGCAGGGGGAGGAAGAAGCTGGTGCCCCATCTGGAAGGGGGGCTGGGGCTCTAGTCTTCGGCTGCACCTGCCTCCTTTCCCAAGGCAAAAGCACAGGAGAGCTGCAGGATCTGGGCCAACAGACACAGCCATCACCATCCCAGGCCGCCCATTGATGGGGCTCACTGGCACTTGTCGTCGCTGTCAGAAGGGCTGCCTTCCCGGGGAAGGCCGTGGCGGGAGCGGGGCCCCCAGAGTGCATGCACCTCAGTGGTCTCTGTGTCACTGCTGCTGGTGGCACTGTCGCGGAAGCTGGCGAGGGGTGGCCGGACTTTCACGCCTTGTGCTGTGACAGAGCCCTCAATAGCCTTCCGGAGCTGCAAAGGTGAGAGGGTCAGATGTGTGGACTCGGAGCTTCCTGCTCAGACTCCTCCCCAGCACTTCCCCCAGATAAGCTGGTCATAAGCCTCCATGCCGTTTTGGAAGTGGAAGTCGCTTAGACAGCCACTCGCATCTCACCTCCTTTAGGGTGACGATTCCAATGAGTCTGCCAATACTGGTGACATAAGCATGGTCCACTCCCAGCAGTGAGAAGATGGTGTGAGTCTGAAGGGTGGGACGAAAATACATGGGACTTTATTCACGAGGGGAGGGGCCCAGGACAAGGTGTTGCGGGGCTGGGGGGAAATAGAAGGGGTGTCAGAGACGGTGGGGAGGAGCGGGCAGGACCATCGGAGAGAAAGAATAGCGACAATGCACAACCAATCCTCAGAAACTTGATCATGGGACACTTTATGTTGCTTATGTTGAAGAAGTGGACAGAGGAAGGATTCTTCATCCCATGTTAGGAGGATGGTGGAAGAGAGACCTGTTCAAATAGGACATCTAATGGGCTAGGCACCGGCTAGGTCTTTCTTACATTAGCGTTTAATTCCAGCACTGTCCTGAGAAGTATGATACCCATTCTACAGGACAGGCAGCATGAGGCTCAGTGGTGAAGTGACTTGGTCATCAGTAAGAAGTGGCCTTGTAGCCCCAGGCCACTTTTCATCACTCTAGAAGGAGGAAGCACAGCCCTAGTGGTCCCATGCAGATGTCCGATTTGTCATGGATAAATCCAGGAGGGAGGGAGGTTACACCCCCCTTAGGGGTGCTGGCCCTGAATCCTGCCTCTCACCCGCGTTAGTGCCTGACACTTGCTTCCCCTTTGCCCTCTGCTGGTTGGCCAGTTAAGGTATCCCTTCACCCTGGCTCTGGCCCTCCCAATCTTGGCCTGTCGTACTCTATATTATAATCTCTCATAGTTTGCCTTTTCTGGGTCCCAAAGCACCCCAGGTCCTGTTGAGAAGTAACTTGCAGTCCAGGGGACAACAATCTCCCCGATCCTCCCCTGTTTTTCTTGCTCTGTCCCCCGCCCTCCCCCACCCAAGCTTTCAAATGTAATCACCAAGGGTTCAGAAATTGTCAGCCAGTTCCCCTTGTGCTCTCTAAGTGGATTTTCTTGAGCCAGATGTCTTGAAAAACACTACTGACTCAGCAGTTCCTGGAATTTTTGGCTTATCATCTATCGCACTGTTTTGAGTTTACTTGTAAGCCTCTTGGCTTAATGTTTGAATCAAAATGGGCATTAATATCCCAGCTTCTTGAATACCAGTTACTTAGAAGTCATTGTCTTACCGTTTAAAATTTTTTTCTTACACAGTTGCTGAATTCTTTAGGACAGAACTTCCAGAACTTTCCTTTCACCTTCTAAGGCATGACAGTACTTATAAAAGGAACTAGAAGTTTGGTTTTAGCATAAGCTTTTCTGTGCTCCTTCAATACCTATGTCATAACTGTCATGTGTCCTCATATCTAACTTGAATCCTACATGCCACAAGTTATCTTTATTTTCCTCCTCTGACTTCAGAGGGAAACTTATCCTTTTTTTTTTTAAGTTTCTTTGTTTCTTAAACTTTTTTTTTTTTTGTACTGGGGAACAGCCATGGTCATTGGTTACACATTGCTTTCACGCTACAATGGCATAGTTAACTCTTTTAAGGAGGGTGCAGCTCACATGCGGGGATCGAACCAGCAACCTTGGTGTTATCAGCACCACGCTCTTAACTAACTGAGCTAACCGGCCACCCCCAGAAACTTATCTTTATTATAAGATTTCCTGCTTTAATAATCCCTTGGCTTTGTCTTCTTATGGTTTAATAATCCCTCTCATCTTTTCCTAAGGATCCTAATAAACCATTTCCCTAGCGTTTCTATTCTCTGTAATCCTAATTAGAGTGAGCTGGCAGGCTATATCCCTTTTAGGTTTGCAAACCACTTGTCCTGGGCAGTCACCAGTCCTCACCGATCTACTTCCTGAACATCCTGGCCATTCTCCTCGACTCCCTCACCATCCTCACCAGGACAGGACTGTAACATCCTCAGGGGTTCTGCTTTCTGCCTTCCTTCCCTCCAACTTCGCTCTGCCATCCTATCAGCTTTCTCAGACTTGAGTTAGAGCCTGGACTCCCCAGAATGACCCATAAGATCTTTTACAAGCCAGGCACCCCTGCTTCCAGCCTCACATAATCACTCATCCTTTTATGAAAACATCGATTTCTTCCACACTTCAGCCCTTTCTTCATTACACCACCTTTTAAAGTCTCCCATTGTTCTCTCTGTATAAGTTACTAGTAGTATTAGTAGTAATAGTAGTTCTGAATATATATTGAATACTTACTATGTTTCAGGTACCCTAAGTGCTTCACGTGTAGCAACTCCTTTAATCCTCAGAAAACCCTATGGTGTAGGTACTATGATCCCCATTTTACAGATAAGGGAAGTGAAGCACAGAGAGGCTAAGAAATTTAACAAGGTTACACAGCTAGCTAGCAAGTGGCATAGTGAGGATCTGGGTTCAGCCAGTCTGTCCCAGTGCTGGTATTTGAGCTTGCCCCACCTCCACCCACTGCTTCTCTGTGGGTGGCCTCTGAATGAATGTGGTACTTAGCTGGTACGGTGATCGCCAGTTGCACAGGTTCCTAAATGGTCTCCAGTGTATTCTCTCTCCCCTCTGAATGTTCCTCTCCTGAACTTAATTGGGCTACTACTTACTGACTCCTCAGGCCTACAAGGACGTTTTGAATTCTAATCTTTTATGTTCTTATCGCTTCCAGTTCTTTGTACTTTTGTTAGTCGGTTCCTCAAAGGCTTCTTCTCTTCCTCTGATTTTTAAGTTTGTGACAAACACCTACTTTGTTCTTTTTTATTTTAATTTACTTAGACACCAGGGAGCGCATTGGAGGGCCTGCATTTCTTGGGCTTGGGAACAGTGAATTGACAGGGAGAGGGAGGACATGGCCCTGGGAAAGAATCCTGGGACTGAGGCCAGGAAATCTGGCCTCTGGGCCTGACTCTGCTGTACTAAGGCAACTGAACTCTTCACTGCCTCAGTTTCCCTGTGTATTAAGATGGTTAAATCCACAGGCTTTTGGGTCAGGCCATTTTGGATTCCAGGCCTGGCTCTGCTATCTACTAGCTATGTGACCTTGGTCACCTTGCTTAACCTATCTGAATCTCTATGTCCTCATTTATAAAAACTGGAATATCACAATATCTATCTTACAGTGAGGATTAAATTAAACATGTGAAGTGCTGAGCCCGGTGCCTGGCACATAGCAGGAACTAAAAAAATGTCAGTATTATTATCATCATCATCTTTATGTGATGTTTGAGGACTAGGTAAGATGGTGGAAAAACTTTAGAGGTTTTAGGAACAAAGGCGTTAAATAAAAGCCAGGTGTATTATCCTCAGGTCTAGCTCCTTTTTTTCTTGCCACTCACTTTGATCCGAGGTCTTTACCCAAAGGCTTGTAAGTTCTTTTATTAACTTTTTGCCTTTTTTTGTTTCTCTTTTGTCCCCTGTCCTTCCCGCCTGGGCGCCTACTTGTCTTCACTAGGCTGGCTCTTAGGCACAGCTGGCACTTAAGCTAGCAGCCCAAGCTACAGACCTTGGGAGTCCTCCCCCACTGCCCCCCGCCCCCATGCGCACATTAAATCTAATACTTTAGCTAAAACACCCCTTGGTTTCTGCCCGTGCAGCCTGCTGCTGGCTGTGCCTGCACTCCCTGCTTTCACTTAGAAGCCTGAAGGTGCCCAGTGATGCCACCGTCCCATCATGGGGATCCCCTGAGGCAGACTTCCACATAGAGCCCCTGCGCTCCTCAAGCGTCAGGCTGACCCACCAGCAATCTCTGCACTCAAGTTTTCTTTCCATTTCTGCAGGTCATTTTGTTCTTCTGCTGAGCTGTCTTCCTATGTCTCTACCAGTTTTCTTTTGGCCTACATTAAGTCAGACTTTCTGGGGTCTGACATTCCAAGCCCCCCACTGGGCGTTTCTCATCTTTGTTTATCTCTTCTCTGCAGTGTCCCCACCCCTACTTGGATGTTTGTTAGACTGTTTATTAGATTTTCTTATCCTGCCTGTTTCTCACCCATTTTTTTCAGCGTGGGTGTATCAGCCTTGTTGGGTGCTGGCAGCCTTCTGCCTAGCTCTGACCCTAGCCTGGCCTTCTGGCTTCTACCCAGCTCGAGCCCTGTCTCTATTGCTGCTTTGGTTCAGAGTTCCCTGGGGGGCAGGCTGAGAAGAGGAAAACCGATGCCTGACTCCACCACAGGCTGGAAGAGGCTAAGGGGACCTGGCTGCTGGCCTCCTATCGTTTGAAGCAATATGTTTGAAAAACATCTCAGCACAGAGCTCTCGCTCTCTGCTGTCCCTTTTTTCCCCACTGGCTTGAGTCCAAACTCGGGGAAGGACCTAGATCCCCACCCTGTGCTCCCGAGAGCCCGGGCCAGCCCTGGGTTGCCGACCCTACCTTGTGCAAAGAGGTCCGCTCCACCAGCTGGAAGGGGGCAGGGTCAATTTTGCAGTCACTGAAGTTGACAGGTTCATCTAGTTGCTCCTCCTCCCACTCCAGGATCTGAGGGTATGAGACTAGGAGGTTTAGGGAGAAGGTGCCGATATGGCTCTCACCTCCCTGAAAGCTGGCCTGCCCTTTTCCCTACCTCACGGTCCCTCCCATGGGGACAGCAGCCAAGATGATGACTGAACACACCCCAGAAAAAACAGGGTCCAGAGTCCAGTCACACCTTACCTCCTCGGGGGTCATCTCCCTTTCCAGGTCCGAGTCACTCTAGAAGAGAGGAAGGGAGGGAGGCTGGAAGCTGGGGCCGGGGAAAGGGGGTGTGTCCCCCCCAATGGGGGAGGTTTCCTGCCTAGACCCTGGCCTGCCCTGTCTAGTGCTGCTGAGCTGCAGAAGAAAGTGGCGCTTACCGCCAGGGAGATTCGGACCCGCTTCAGCTTGCGCTTGTCACACGGTTCTGACTTCTCCAACTTTGTTCCAGTCGAACAGGAGAGAAGAGGAATTGATGTTACAGGGAGGAGGGAGGTGAGAGGAGTGGTGAAGCCCGGGAGGAAGGGCACATTTCAGGGACAGAGCTGGCATCTAGCGGGGCAGAAGGGCAGGGAGAATGGAGGCAGGCACTGCAGAGCTATTGAGAGGTGATCTCAGTGTCAGAGGGCTGGAAAGAAAGAGCTAGACAGAGAGGTTTCAGCCACTCACCTCTGAAGCAGCCTCGGGGGGTGGACTGCCACAGAAGAGGCTCCTGAGGGCCATGCCAGCCTGCTCCACATTCCCTGTGTTCCCAAATACAAGGCCCCGGGGCAACGTCATCTTTGGGGAAGAGGTGAGGAGGGCCAGGGGAGAGGTGTCCTGCTTGTATACCCTTGGCCCATACAGGCAACCTCTTAGCTAGGACAGGCCCCAGCCTAGGACAGGTCTGCGTAGAGACCCTTGTGTGGTTTCAGGGGCTGGGCTCTAGCTCTCTTGGAGGATGGAGGGAGATGCTAGAGGGAGCTAGGCTCACCTGGGGGACTCTCCCCGAGGCTCATGGAGTTGCTGGGTCCCCTCTTGAGAGCAGGCTTCAGGGGCTTGTTGGTCTCCCCCCGGACTGCAGGGAAGCCCGAGTCCTCTGTGTTCACCTGCACAGGCAGGAAGGGGCTGGTGAGGCTGTGGCCCCAGGCTACCTGTAGGTTGTCCTCCCGATTAGTCTACACCACGTCGAGGAGGAAATTTGTACGGCTGTGGGGCTTTCGCCTCACCTGGAAGCGGACAGAGGTCTCAGGACTGGGGGGACTCTCCTGATCAGGCGGTGGAGAGGCCTGGGCAGCTCGACGCGCCTGCATGTGCTGCCGCCGGCGGGCCGGGCTCAGCTGGGCCCCCAGCAATGCCACCACCTGTGAGCGCTCGATGGAGCCCAGGAGGATCATGGACTCTGGATAGAATAGGTGGGAGGGCTCAGGACCCAGGCGTGAGGCCCTTCTCTCCCCTGGCCGCCTCTCACACTCTCAGTGGGGCCTTGGACACAGGCCACATGCCAGATGGAAAGCCCTGGTTGGCAAATGCTGGCCATTCCCTTTGGGACCAAGGAGACTGGTCCTGTTCCCTCCCGTTCCTGACCATGGACGCTGGGAAATGTCCATAGCATCTGGGTCCCCTCCTGGTCTCACCAGGGGACTCTACTAAGGCCAACATGCGGCCCTTGGTCCTGTGTAGTGCCAACCGCAGGTCCCGGAAGGTGCAGCTGAGGGCCACGTGGGGAACATCTCGAACCATGATGTCCTCCACTCGCACCCGGTACTGCCTGGGGGGCAGAGAAAGGCACTTGGTTTGTGGTCAGCATGGGGAGAGTAGCTTGGAGCATTACCACCCCAGGGTCCATGGGGACAAGGGCGAAGGGCCAAAGGGTATTCCCTGCCTTTGTTCAGATCAGGAGGGGCCAGCCACCGCTCCCCCAGGCTGTGGATAAAGGCAGCTCTGGCCAGGAGGGAGCAAGGTGGCTGGTCTCCCACCTTCACTGGCTTAGGACTTTGCTGGAGGAGGGTGTGAGGGGGTCCCAGGACACCTGCCCCTCACCCACATTCCCTTTGTTGCCCGGCCCTCCGTACTGGTGGCGGCCCCAGCCCAGCTCAGGCAGATAAGGCAGTTTCTTGATTCGGATGATGCTGTCATAGAGGGAGGGCTGTAGGCTCTGGGCAACGGCATTGGCCAGGATGACGGCAATCATGACGGGCAGGATGTGGGCAATCTGTCCTGTGAGCTCAAACACGATCACAGCCGTGGACACGGTATGTGTCACCGCTCCTGCCAGTGCAGCCGCCCCTGGGGACAGCCACCTTTAGTCTCCTCATGGTGCCCAGGACCCAGACAACCCTCCCCACCCAGGGACAGTCCTGTGGGGACCCTCAGGGCCGTCCAGTACAGTCCTGGGGATTGGGCTTCTGCAGCGAGGGAAAACCTGGTTTCTGCCAGCAGGGGGCACCAGAGCCTCAGACCCTGTGGCCTCATCAGGGGTTTTCAGGACACATGGGGACCTGGAGTACTCACCCACCACTGCGTAGCCTCCAGGCACAATCCGGTAGGTGCTGCTGTCCGTGTGAATCCCATCTGGGAACCAGGCAGCCATGCTTTCGCCCACCAGACGCCCAAATGCTGCTCCTTCAGGGAGGGAGTTGGGAAGAGAAACAGGTAGTGGAGGGGGAGGGTGGGGGCGCTAGGAAGAGAGAGGGTCAGAGGGTGGGGAGGGGCCAGTGGGTCATTCAGTGCAGGGGACAGCTGTGTGGGGGTGGGGGTGGGGCTGGGGCTGTACCAAAACCCACTCCCGGGCAAGGGGTGGCCAGAGGGTGGGAAGGGTGCAGGCTGGGAGAACAGGCAGCTGAGGACTCACCAATGACAAAGACAGGCATGAAGGCCCCGCAGGGCACTGGGATGGTGGTGGCCAGTGCAGACATCCAGAACTGCAGGCAGGAGGTGGTTCAAACAGGTTGAAGGTGCCTCCTGGCTCCAGGAGGCCCCCAGCTCCACCTGAGCAGCCTACCTTGCTTATCAGGTGATACATGTCCCAGCTATCAGAGTCCCCCAGAGGTGAAGGGATAGGGGAGGACTTGGGAACCAGATGGCTTGGGCTCGAATCATAACTGCACCACTAGCTGTGTGACTTTGAGCCAGTTCTTTAACCTCTTTGTGTCTTGACTTCCAATCTTTAAAACAGAGGTACTAACAGTACTTTCCCATAGCACTGTTATAAGGCTGAAAGGAGCTAATATACGGAAAGTGCGCTAACACTTACTAGGTGCCTTGCATCTAGGAAGCCTAGGTAAGTGTTAGATATACATCTGTAAGGAGCCCCACCTTCATGAGAATGAAGATGACCAGGGTGAGGAAGACGTTGGCACGTGGTGGGCTCCAGGCCTGTGAGGTTCCAGGTGGTTCTAGCTCCTCCACCAGGCCCTGGCGAACCCACGTCCGGTTGTCAAACAGGGTGACCAGCGTCTCTTTCTGTGAGAGCTATAGGTGAACAGGGTGCCTCAGGCTGGGGAACAGACAGATGAAGGAGAGGGGTCCCTAAGAGGGCAGGGGCTGTTGGTTTTAGAAGGGATGCATCCGAACGGAAAGCACAAGTTCCTGTTCTGCCTGGGGTTACCTGTCCAGCCATGAACTGTCCCAAGCCAGGGGGGAATGTCAAAGTGGAGATGAGCAGGGTCACCAGAGCCGGGAAGAGCAGGCGTCTAGAGATATAGGTTTCACAGCATCAAACATGGGTGATGCACCAACGACAGACTGGTGAGAGACTGGGTGCCCTCACACACCTCAAGGCTGAGGTCACAGCAGAACCTTGGCTCTTACGTAAAAGAGCCAAGGTCCCCTTTGCTGTGCATGATAGGATGGCCCCGAGGGTGACGGCCCTCCGGGGTTATTATGAGCCCAACCAACTTTCTGTTGGCTCCTGACTCTCAGTGGGTAGCAGTGGCAGAAAAACCATCCCCCCAGTTCTCTCCTGGACACCTCTGATCTGTGTCCCCTCCCCCTGCCCTCAGAAGCCCTGGCTGAAGGGCGCATTATGTGAAAGTGTGGACAAGTTTCTGCCTCTGTCTGTTTCTCTGTGGTGACTTAGAGTGAAGGTCAGTGTTAGGGGAAGCCGGGGTCATTTATGAAGTTGACCGAAGGTGCCATAGGGAGCAGGTTCAGTTGGCTGCCCTTTCCCTAAAGGACGTTAGTTCCAACAGAAGTCACGTCTCAGGCTCCCCCTTCCAATCCTCAGGGTCACAACTGAGAGAGCTGTACTCCAGAGGTTAAAAAAAAAAAAAATCTCACCCATCTCCATGTTTCACTGGAGGAAACTAAGGCTCACATACTGTCCAGGGAGCACTGCCATCTGTGCCAGGCCAAGGGCCTATGGAAACCTTACTCTTTGATCCAAAATGCCCTCTGCTACTGACTAAAAATTCAAAAGTGCCAGTGTTCAGGTAATTCATATAAGAGCCAAAATGTTCAATCTGCCTGGAAAACACCATTGGCTGATTTTCTCAACGTAGTGCAGGATTTTGGCTGGGCCACTATATGCCATCTCACTGTCACGGAACTCCCCCCCCCACCACCACCACCACTGTGACCCTCACAACAGCCCAAAGTGGCCTAAAGAGGAGCCCAGAGCCAACTCACTTCTTCATGAGGAAGCGGTTGATGGTTTTCTGCTTCCGCATCACTTGGACAATCTTCCGGTTCAGGTAGACAAAGAGTGCTCCCCCGAAGCCACTGGCAATACTGGAGAGGGAAGAAGCATCGGGGTAAGTGGGGGTCTTCCCTCTTTTCTCTCCTCCTCTCCAACACGCCCCCGCTCCCTCAGCTCCTCACCCTATGACAGCAAAGGCTGGCAGCTCCTGGAGGTCAAAGGGAAAGTCAAGCCGAAACCGGGTTTTGAAGAGAGCAGTGATGGTCTCTGAAGGGAAGGCAGAATAGCAGAGGGAGGCAGGTATAATGTCGAGGGCCCCACCCGAGCCATCTCAGGGCTCCCCTCATCTCCCATGTCCCCCCACCTTCATCACGGTTCCAAACCGCCAAGACCCGGAAGATGAAGGCACTGAAGGTGGCAGCAAAGAAGCCCCGCCAGTAGTTGCGCACAGCGAAGAAGGTGGAGGTGACCTCAATACTGAACAAGACACCTGTCAGGGGGCAAGCGGAAGATCATTTGGGGCCTGGGCCTGGTCTCAGGACTCAGACCGAGATGAGAGGGCAAAGGAGGTGAGGCCAAAGGCAGGGCTGGAGGCCCGGACTGACTACCTCCGATAGGTGCTGCAAAACAGCAGCCCACTCCCACAGCACAGGCAGCGGCCAGCATCTCGGTGTTCCGGGATTCGTTCTGGCGAGAGTGGTGGAAAGGGGAGTCAGCACAGGCTCAGCAGCCCACCCCTCTCCTCTGCCTTTCCCCAGGGTCTCCCTTACCTCGTAGATGCCCCCGAAGAGGGAGAGGAACTTGCTGAGCAGGGCGGCACACATGCTTGCTATATGCACAAACGGGCCCTGGGAGGTGGGGGCAGACAGTGAGTGGGGAAGGGGCACACCCCCACCCCGACCTGGCTTCTTCCTCCAGTGGGAGGGACTCTTTTATTCCCCAACCTGCAGTTACCTCTTTGCCAAGGGGCATCCCACTGCCCAGGGCACAGGTCAGCCCAATGACCTTCGCTACAAAGGTCTTGAGGGTGAGGTATTCCTTTAGCACCACGCCCCGCAAGATGGTCTTCATCTCAGGGATGCCGGACCCTGGAGTGGGTACAGTCCCAGGACTGTTATTTGATGTGCCCATTTCAGGAGTTCCACCTCTGCCCTCCCCTCCTCTCCTACTGTACCAACAGCCTGAGGAGCCAGGATCTGTGTGAATCCAGCTGAGAAAGTGATGAGGACGACAGGATAGGTGACCCAGGCCAGGTACTGGAGAAAGAGGCTGGTGTTCAAGCCCCGGGACATCCACTGCTGAGCTGTGGGGAGAGGCCGTGTTGCCGGACCCCTGATGTGCACACCCAGTCCCCACCTGGCCACTGGGACATACTGATATGATGGACTGTCCAGGGAATATCACACAGAACCTGGGTACAAGGGGCAGGGAGGCGGCCCTAGAGGGCTTTCACTGGGACAGAAATCATTGTAGGTAAGAGGGTCAGGTGGAGAGGGGAGGCAAAAAGTTGTGGCTTATGAGAGTGGCAGTGATTATGTCTGAAGATGGACACTCAGGCTGGCCAAGCAGCCAAGATACTTGGACAAGTGTGGCATGGAGGAAGCAGAATGGTGCTTCCCAGCCCTCCCGCTGCCAGCCCTTGTCCTCACCCTGCAGACAGGCAGCGATGGCATAATCCATGGCCCAGCTGACCAGCGCCATGAGGAGCCCCAGCAGGACCAGGAAGATCCAGTCTTCACCAACCCTGGACACTAGGAACTTATGACAGCGTACGGAACAGACTGGGAGCAGGGAAGGGAAGAATGGAGGGGCTGGCACCAAAGTGCTCTTACCCCTGCCCCCCCCCAGCCCCCAATGGGCAGCTGTAATGGCCTCTGTCCCTCTCAGCACAGTACAGCCAGATCCCCTGCCCCAACCCAGGTCTCACTGCGGCACCGGGCACAACGGCTCTGTCCATATTCCAGGAGCTCTGGGGGAACCCGAGGGGAAAGCGGACCCCTCCAGGGCTCAGGCCCTCCCAGGCGGATCCGAGCAGCTTCCTCTTTGGCAAAGGCCCCAAGGTCCTGGGTATACCGGCCATACATCTGAGCAATGGGAAAGATGAGGGTTAGCAGACATGTGTGGGCTCAGTAGGGATGCAGGGAGGGCTCCTGGGGCCTCAGCTCCCCTTCTCCCAGCCCCCACATTATATACCACCTCTTGAACCCACAGTTCCCACTTTGGCTTAGGGTGTGGGAACAATGCACATTGCAGACTGTGGGGGCTGTCCTGGCCTGGGCAATGGGGACAGCCAAGGTACAGGAACACAGCTCTGGGGGGGTGGCAAAATAATCAGTTCCCTTCTCACTGAGGAGGAGTGGGAGGGAAGGCCCAGAGGAGGAAAGATGTAAAAACCTAACACAGCCGGAAAGTGGGAGGAGGGAAGGTCAGAGAATAAGGGATGGTCAAGGGCATATGGGTAACAATAACGGCCTCAAGGAGCTGGGGGCAGCTGAGTTGGGCCTAGGAGCAGGTGGGGGGCCCCAATCCTTATCACGTTCCTGCTAGGCCTCAGGCCAGTGACCCACTCCGCTGCACCACTCCCACCCACCCTAATCCCCTTGTTCCCCTTCTCCACTCCCACCCCCCACCAGTTTGCCAGCCCCGCTGGGAGTAGAAAGTCTCTCTGGGTGGGTGGAGAGAACTTGGTGGCCTCAGTCCATTCTGGAGCTGCCCTGAGTCCAGTGGTGGGTTGGGGGACAGCAGAAGCTGTGGCTGGGCTGTCACTGTGGATGCTGGGGTGATGGGGTGGGAGAGTCTCTG